ATATTACAATAATTTCAAAGTAACTACTTTCTCTACTATACCATGGTTAATTCATCTGAATATAGAATTTCTAGCATAGAAAAGTTAATGAAATTTGTATTTTAATCGATTGTAACTCCCTCTCTTTCATTTAGCTCAAATTCGTGTCCTGTAATAAAATTGAAAATATGATTTATGTATCGAGATCTTAGGTTTTCGCGATTGTTACACATAGGAAATGAAACTTTATTTCCTTAATTAAATCGCGTATAGGTATTTGTTTTTTTCAAACAAACCAACGTTTCTTGCCCTTTACATATTCACGGTTGACTGAGGTGGTACAGTCATCAACCAGTTAGTTATGTCTAATATTAAAGCATTTATATTTTCACTATGGTTACAAAAATTGTTAACTAAATACCTTTTTTTAATTTTACAAAGAAACATTCCAATAAAAGCTACATTAGGTTTTACAAATGATTTTATTTTAACAATATGAAGATAAATTTATTGTTAATTAATAATGAAAATTAGAATAAATTAAACCATATTTATTAGTACTGCAGTCTTATGTCTAAGATTGCATTACTAATTAATATGGTTTAATTTATTCTAACTTTCATTATTAATTAATAATAAACTTAACTTAATAAAAATTCATATTGTTAGAATAAAATAAATTGTAAAACATAATGTAACGTAAATTGGTATGTTTCTTTATAAAATTAAAAATAAGGTATTTATTATTGTCAATCTACGATTTTCTTTGCAAGTACGTGCATGCATTTTTTAATATTTATTTGACTACACTTTATAGGCTTCAATTATAGGGACACACAATACTTATCGACGCGGAATCAATCGGTTTGAGCCGGTCAAAATAACCTTTTTTCCAAGCTCAAAGAACGGAAAGAAACGAGCGAAAAGACATCATGCGTCGCTCTTTTTCTTCTTCTGCCGGCTAGCAAAAGTGTGAGCATTACTGCGTTCCCGTTTTCAAGGATAAGAGTGCTGATGACATTACAGGTACATGCAACTTGTCATCTTGTCTCAAGATGACGATGCAGTACCTCTTAAATGTTTGCGATTTAAAACTATGAGTGGTGCTGCAACTGTTATGGACAGGTGTGTCGCTTACCACTAGACACACGGCCCGTTCGTCCCGACGCTTAGTATCGTAAAAAATGCTTTTTCTGATCGGCTCAAGTCATTTCGTCGTCGACAAGTGTATGTACTACCTTATAATATGATAAAAAAACGTTACTTACTTTATGATGTGTCTCAACTTAACTTTGTTATCCACATCGTTGTCAGCATCTGGACAGACATATTTGCTCCACTTGTCAAACGAATAACATATGAAACCTTTCGCTCTCAAGTAGGTTAAGTTTTCTAATGTTTTGGTGCCTATTGTTAGTACTGGGGTTTTTTTCACATTCAGTTTTTGGAAATACTGTCTAGACGAATTTAAGTTTTTGTTTGAATATACAGACGCACATAAAATCTTATCGATATCATTCTGCCCTATATTTTTTATGCATTCTTCGTGTGTAATGTTCTTTGTAAGACATTTGAAATAACTGGCTTGTTTATCATAGTCGTTTCGCCATTGTCCTAACGCACACATTCTCTTTGATGATTCACTGTGCTTGTCTATAAAATGAAAGTCGTACTGGACTTCCTTCCCGAAATAGGAAACAATTTTTGGAAAGGACAATTTGAAGAATTGTTGATCTCCACTTTTGGAAAAATCTGAAAATATATTTACTACTTTCTGCTCTGTTGAAGTCCTTTGATTTGATTTCAGGTTAGGGTTATATGTCTTAATAAACTTTGCTTTTATGGGTTTATATGGCATGCATGCTACCGGATCCCATTTTTTATAAAACGTACATGCGAAATACATCGCATTTTGGAAACTAGTTTGAGTTACGAATTTGTTACCTATTGAAATGACAGGTGTGGTATTAGTTTGTAAATTGTTAAATTTATTCATAGCCACCATTCTGTACAAGCCAACTTTAGATGCTGCACAAACAATGGCACGAATTTTGTCCCAACCAATTTTATTGATACAATCAATTATTCTAGTTCCACTTGCTTCGCATGAAAAATACGCAATTTGTTTATCGAAATTATTTTTCCATTGGTCGAATGCACACATTCTTTTCGATGATGAGAAAAATTCATCTACGAAGTAGAACTTAAAGTTCGCATTTTTTCCAAATGTTTTGATTAATGTCGGTAAAGTTTCTGTTAAAAATATTTTATCATTCTCTTGCGATGGATCCGAGACTATTGTAATAACGTCTTCACAAATAACTGGCACTATGACTAAAGGAAATGTGAGAACAAATAAGATAGTTAAAATGAACGCCATCATTGCTGTAGCTTTACTGAGTGATATCAAATGTCATGTAAGGATCCTAATTGCGCTTTTTAATTTTTGCGTTTAAGAATTCAAGCATCCAGTTTTATTACACGTGATTAAAAATTAAGTGCTGATTGAAATTGCATAACCATCATAATATGGTGACAATGATTTACGAGTTTTAAACGAATTGATTTTTAGAGCTCTTGATAACAAGAGTATAATAAAAACCGAAGCATAATAAAGTCTTCTAAATAACAGGTTAGGTAAAGCCTTTACGTATTATGTACATAGGACACATGTCAATGATGCCATTGACAGGTGATAAGACAATTGACTGCGAAAATCTTTGGACACATCGAGTACATAACCTTTCGAAATAAATCCTTTATTTATAGCGAAAGTTAGTTCAACTTGGGAAATGAGAATGAGAATCAAATAATTATTTTTAATTTAAGCCTCGAAGGCGACGCGGTGAAAACAGTAATATTATGCATTGAATTTAATGTGAGGATAATTTAAATTGTATTTTTATCTCTCCGAATTCAGTATTTTTTTGAGAGAAGTTAAAAAGTATATTTTACCGGCTTAAATACTGGGTTGCAAAATATCGTGATGCAGAAATAACATAGAATACCTAACGTAGTCACAGAGCTTATTTTTTAATTAATACAAAAAAGAGTACATCGTCATGTAATAAAGTTGTTTATACTTTAATATTCTGTAATCCAAATAGCAATATGTAATTGAGATTATAACAAACAACTAATAACAATTGTATGGGTGTGACGGGTTGGTGTCCGCAACTCAACGTCAAGGCGCCTGTTTTGCGTGTGGTGGGTCCAAGGTCCTACTCGTACTACCCAAGCTCCTCCAGGAATCTCAGCTCGTCCTAGGTTTGCTGATGACTTAGGGGAGCGACCTTGGTACTACAAGGTTCTTTGTCCTGTGGTTGGCCACGCCGGAGCATTGTATAGAGGGCTGTGTAGTATAAGATAGACTATATTTATAGTCTAACTGCAACATGTGGTGCGTATTGCTTGGTTAGCATTTAAGTTTACATTTTATTTTATATTGTATTATTTATTCATTTATATTCTGGAGACCGAACAATAAACATATCTCTTTAAATCAACGTATTTCGCGTTGAGAGTGCTTCCCTAACCTGTGCACAAACTGTAAAGGTGGACAATCTTGTGTTATTATGGGAAGTTTTTGTACCTTTGCGTTGGGTTGTTCCTGACCTTTGTTATAAGAGAGGGACACTACGGGTTCTGGTCCTACAGCGTCCGTCCACGACCCTTTTCTGGCCAGTTCATCTGCTGCATCATTGTCACGTGAGTGGTTGTGTGTAACGAAATTGCAATGTGTTTAATTATTTTATTGATACTTTATTACAAAAATGTACGTCGGAAAGCTAATCGTCGAGTGCGTTTCCGGCCATCAATATTATTTAGTTATTTTCACATCTTGCACACGCACAGTTTTTACTCTAAATACTATTAAGTGTTGTAGAAAGTTCTTTTCCATGCCGTGTTTGTACATAATGAGTCTAGGACTTAATTATTGAATGATTTGTTTTATAGATCTAACTTATTTTGTTTCAGGTAATACCTGAGTCTTGGTAAGGTTTTGGTGAAACTTTGACTCTATAAACAAAAGTAAGAGATATTGTATTTTTTAAATTTCTATATATTCAATATTTATTTGTAATGAATAATTATTACTGCCTTTATATTCATATATTTTACTAAAAAATGTTTCAGTATTATGTTATTATTGTTGGTACAAAGACCGAACAAACACAAATTTCTTCGACTTGATTGAACTCGGACCAGCGTCTGTATGCCTAACTTGGGCTACCGCTCTTCCAACTGAGCCACAGACCGAGTGAGCAGACCTTACAATCTTCTCTGTGTGTGTTCTCTATTTGATTGAGTCTTAAACAATTTTTTTACCGTAGCACCACCTGACGAGCAAGTCGTGTGCGTGGTGTAAAGTGACACGCCTGTATGGACACTACTGGTCCATACCAGTTGCAGTGCCATTCAGAGCTTTAAATCGCAAAGATCTAAGAGATACCGCCACTGTGCCTATCACTCTGTAATTTCACCAGCACTCTTCAAAGCCGAACGCAGTAATGCTCATATTACTGCTAAGCGGCAGATAGAGGTAAGATGGTAGTACTTCTCGGCAGAAACACTGCAGTAATTTTTAGTTCGCTTATTGTGACTGCAAAAGTTACGCGCGCGTGTTACGCCTGTGGCGCTGCAACTGTGTTTCCAAATATTTTATGAAAATTATTAGTGTCACCACGGTGCCACTGCAGCTCTTCTATAAGCGTCTAATTTAAAGGCGTCATTAGCATCAAAGCGCTTGTAAAATAAACAAAGCCAAAGAGACAACACACATAAAACTGAACGTTGCAATTAAAATAATTAGTACACACGAATAACGAAAGATTAACATATCACGCATTCCGTTAAGTAACAATTTTTTTTTCTGTCCGTATTAGTGACCCTAACTCACGAATGAGGCTAATTTATTATGTATGAAATTATGATAATACAGTCTTTATGTGCAACCTCATTGCATGACTAGCGCGTATTTACAACCCCGTGGTATTAGCTACGATTTTGCCCATTTTAGGGTTCGAAGACGACTTAGTGAAGGGACCTTTCTGAACCTTCGAAGATAAAGTGAGGTCACGGTATTTCTGAGTAATATCGATAAATATTACATTTAATCTTAGGAATGTAATGCGGATCAGGAACACATCTTTCATGAGCACACTAACGACGATTGAGATTTGTTTACAACTTTTATAAAATAAAAGCACATCAACCGCCATCGAAAAATGTAAATGTACATTAAGGTCAAAGCGGACACACTTAGGCTAAGTGACAGTATCACAACAACCTGAAAATGATTCAATTTTGGAAATACCTGAATTTTGTGTAACCTCATATTTTTTGGAAATGACTGTATTCTTTTTTCGGATCTAAATTGCGTACATCTATTTGTTTAAAAAAACAAATATACGCGATTCAGATCCGAAGAAAAGGTTATATATTTTTTGTTATGAATTTCGAGAACTTAATATTGATACCAGGTCTGTAGCCAGGATCAATTGATTCGGAAGAATCTTGATGATCCTAGCTATGGGCTTCTTTGACTGTCTGGTTAAAAGGGGCTTATGAGAAATTATTGGAAATCCGTATTTCTGTTTTCTTATACGTTTATATTTCGGAAAATTTTCAGAAGGAGAGGTGTATCAACTCTTACACCCGTTATGTATGGGTTAGGATTTATGATTTGTTGACATATTTTAGGCTCTTTGACTTGAACGCTGTGGCCCCATATATATATGTATAAATTGTACTTAAGTAATTAAGTTCTTATCTCCAAAAGGTCCCTCATATTACCCGAGATATCTGTTAAGGTCTGGCGCTATCGGATGCATTAAGAGACATTAGTGTTTATGTTTCCTGTGGCTAATTCCCTTTGCTTAAGTGCGTTGCTTGATTGCTGTGATTAGTCTTGAGTGTTGTGACACGTGTCATTCACTTGCCATAGTGGTTCAATAAATGTGCGGGCTTGTGTATACGGTTCGGTAAACTGTCAATTAGGGTATGAAATACACATTTAATTTTGGTAAAAATTCTTATCTTATTCAATCATCATTATCGAAAAGTCGTAAGCAACTGCAAAATTGTAAACTTTTGAAAGTTTTAATAGTTATATATTTAAACTTGTTATTTATTTGTAATGCATGTATTATAAAAAAAGTCAAAAGCAATAAAATATCCACTTATATTAATCTGTAGTCTCTGTGGAATATGAGAGTAAATTAATGATATACTGAACAAAAGGCTTGGAGTAATTTTGAAACAAATCCCGTTGTAAATTGGGGAAGTCATTAGGTGCTCCAAAAGAGAGCAATTAGGGATCTGGGACGCGGGGAAACTAATGTGACCTGTTTGAATGCCTAGTTGAAGGAAGTGGGTATTTTTTGTTTTCAGCAAGCGACTTTGGACTTGCTGCGTGGTTAAAACTTTTAGGCTTTTGTGGTTTGTGTGCTAGTGGACCATTAATTAAAAAGTTAATGTATAAACCTCATCTAAATAAAATCATTAAGATCAAGTATGTCGCACATTAGCTTTGTAGCTGCATACATTACGTGTGCTCGCCGCGACCGTTATTATGTTCTGAGTGATGTATTCACCACTTTTAGTATACTATTCCGAGCTTTTAGATTAATACAATAAATTAATTTTGGTTCCAACTCTCACCATCAGCGTTTCACAGAGCGGCTACTCAACATCTAGACTTCCATCGAAAAACACATAAGGCTTCAATACTGTCAACAGCAACAATTATAAGTAAAAAGTATAAAAGTCTACTTACGAGTGCGTGAAGAAATTTACCTGCTTATTGGTAAAAAAATATGGTAACATTATTCTCAGCTTGAAGCATAACGTCGCTTAGAGAACAACATTACATATCATTTACATTGCATGTTATTACATCACATTACTAGTTATTTTAGGGGACAGATCACAGACCACATACAGATAGCAGAGTTGTTATCATATTATATTAATAGTTAAGCCAAATCGTTGGCTACCAGACTGGCTGCTTCTATTGAGCAGTCCATTGACATGGGTCAGTTTATTGACATTAATGGAACTGTTAAAACTAATTCAATTATCAATTATTTAATTTAATTAATAAGACAACGGAGAGATACTCTTGCAATACAGTGAAAGTAAAAAACCAACCTAAAACTCACAGAAATAAAATACATTGTTGCACCAAAATATTCAAGGCATGAAGGGCAAAGAGTTAGAAATATAATTATTTATTAACTGTAATAATATAGATATTCTTTGTATTACTGAGCACTACTTTTTATCTAAACATCAGTTCATGTTTAGCTTCTACAATCACCAG